TGATTAATTTCATCTCAAATCATATTATGGTACCGGCTATAGTATTGATACGGTAAAATCAACAAACAATTAATAACCTATCGTCACGTATTAATGTATAAATAAAAAATTAATTTAAAAAAATGTAAAAATACGCTTAATAGAAATAATTGTGTCGCCTATAGTATTATAATATCGTAAAAAACTACACGTTTAACCGAGAGGTGTGCGCGATTTACCTGGTATAAAAATGAGTTTTTCGACCATTTACTGCATTTTGTCAAAACCAATATTGCTAATAGTCGTTTTATATGTGTATAACTCATTTTTCAGTTATTTCTTTATTTTTTTTTTGGACTCGCAACGTTTTTGCTTATAGGGACAGAATAGGCGCATAATAATATTGTATCGTTAAAAACTACACGTTTAATCGAAAGTTGTGCGCGATGCCTATCTAAGACGGTGTTCTATGTGATTTTATCTTGTATAGATATTATATCGCGGACGTAGAATTTGTTCCGCGATTGTCAGATTCGAACCCGAGAACGTTGAATTAATAATTAGCGCCGCGTTAACCCGTCGAAAAGCCGTCGGAACATTTCGCTAACGACACGGACGAGTTGCCTGTTTAAACAAAATTAGAGGTCCTCGCGTCACTTCGCGCAAATTCCAACCGCCCAATCAAAGAACATAATACAGTTAGATAAACGGCCGCCGGGCTCGCACTGCACAGCGTTTTAATGCGCTGCCGGGCGGCGAATTTATTGTCCGGATATCTCGTGCGGGCAGTGGCGCCGTGGACAGAGGGGCTCTGGGGCTGCAGCCCCCCATGAACTTGATAAGACGGAGCTTAACCCCCCACGGTTCTCATAGTGTATAAAACAAAAAAAAATCAATATTTCTCATCTATGCACGTTCTCGAAATACTAATTTTATTCATAACAAATTAATTGGGAAAGATAAATGTTTTTTTTTTTTTTTCTGATATTGATAGCTGAGAAAAACTAAAGATTGTCTTGTAATTTTTCATGACGCTATATAATTTCCATAACTTGCACAACAACAAATAACTATATTTTAATGATTGTTTTACGAAACATTTAAGGAAAATAAAAATAGAAAATATAATATTTAGGTAAAACTGTACATGTGTTTATAAAATAGTGAGCCCCTCATGATGACCTCAAAACCTGGCACCTCTGCGTGCGGGTACGTACTCGTATTTATTTTTTTTTCACGCGTCTTTCGCACCCTCCCCCCCCTCCAATTGTTTATTCCGAATTCAAGCACCGATTAACTATCGTGAAACGTTATTTCGACAAAACTTTGTTATACGACTTGTTATTATGTTTACCACTCGAGTGCCTACCTAGTACCTACTATAACTACCGGTTCCCAGTATTTAAATTATGAAACTACAATGCCAAATATTGTATACTCTTGGTGTCAGTCTAGTCCAATTTGTTATTATAATATTATAATTATTGTATTGCCTATACTTATACCCATCATATATGGATAATAAAGAAACGCAGTTTAAATATATTGTACGCCAAATTTTTTTTGTTTTTTTCTTCTTCGATGCCGAGTCGGGGACGACAGTTCAAATTTAAAATATAAATATACGAATAACATGGCGTGCACAAATAAAGCATAATATAAATTAGTCAACGATACGGCCGCTACTGTTACAGAGTAGGTATACCCACTCTAGACCGGCGGTTTAAAATACAGGGTGTCTTACATTGTGTGTTCCTTAATTCGTATTATTCACTTAAAAAATGGGAAGATAAAATTGAAATTTTTCCGGTGATCAAGGGACGAAAATAAAAATTAAATTTTTCTTTACGTCACATTGTGTTCGCCTCTCGCAAAGAACCGATTGAAAAAAAAAAACGAACATTGACAAAGCTGTTAGCATAAGCATAACACTGTTGGACACTCTGTGTACACCACTCCGTATACAAATGGTATTACCTACTCGATGTATAAACATATTTTAAACCGCGCCCCAGACTGTTGGATAGCACGCAAGAAAGACCACGAACTCCGTACATTTCTTTATTATCTATGCTCTTATCCGCAGTACGGAATCCGATTTTGTTATTTAAGTGTATATGTACGCGTGTTTTAAATATTGTTTTTTTTTTCCTTAACTTTTACCCCTATTATTGTATCACGCGTGTAATTATATAATATGAATAAATTATTAATTATTGTACCGGAAACACGCTGTTTAAATCCCGTTAGATAGGTAGGTTTGGACGAGCATTTATAATAGGCACCTACTGCAATATTATTATAAACGCGATTGTCAATTGCTTTAATGCTCTACATTATATACCTAATATTATACACAATGCGGAAAAAAAAAATTAAAAAAACATAATTTAAACACGATAATATTATTATGTATGCACAATATTATTGCTATAATTTGTATATTTTGTTTATTTACTTATTGAATACGGGACGAATTTAAAAACACAAGTAAGGAATTAGAATCACTACCTAGAATCTAGGTCCTAGACGAATAAAGGGGGTCCGAGTTGGCAGCATAGGTACATAAAACAATCGAAATATGCACCATGAGAATGTAGCTGTTTCTGTGTTGGGTAAGCATTCAGCACCAGTGGTATCACAACTAATAGTCTCCGAGTTGATTTAGTTCACGTCTTTGTCTTTTGAATTTTAGGTTCCTAGGTAAAACAATAAAGTACCTAACAATTAAATTATTTTAACGTACAGAAAAAAAACCGCATGGTTCAACTATTGAACTATTGTTTACTTATTTCAAAGTTCAATGAAACAAAACATATTAGGTGGCGCCCTCTATTGTCTAAAGCAGCCGAATTCGGAAGTTTCGGTCTCAAGACTTTCAGTGTTCGTTATAGATGCCTACTTACCTAGGTACCTTCTCTATTTTTCAAAAGAGAATTATTGTATTTGTTTTCAAAATTTTGAATTTTAAACTATACAAAATGAAAATATTTTGAGGTGCTTAGCACAAAAGAGTTTCTAATAATAGCCAATATGTAATTTGAAGGGATACATTTTTATTTGTCAAATAGTATCACTTTTTATTGTATGTTTTGATATCCATGTATTTGATGTAAAATATTGTGTACATAATAAACAAACAAAAAAAAAAATCAAACGAGTATTTAGGTTTACAGGATTTAAAGTCAAAATTTGGGTCATGTATAGGAACATGGCATAATATTTATAAACGCTTTACTACAAAAACAACAGTTTTAAAATACTATAAATGACCAGTGATACAACCAGGATTCATTTTAATGAGGAATTTACCTTTGTTATTATATGTGTGTCTGTTAATTTTTTATTGTGTAATTTTATTTTAATATATTGCATCGTCCAGAGGCGGTGTAGGAACAAAATTCAGGCTGGGAGATTGAAATGTATCCAGGCCACTCAATAAAATACGTATCAAATGATATTTTCTTATTACGTTCGATTTCAGTATTTTAATTTGAACCCACAATACTACATTTTCAATAATAATGTATTATGTGTATAAAAAACAGTTTAGTTAAATTAAATTAGTAAATTTATAGTTTTTAATACTTAGTTAAAAATAATTTCACACTATATTTTGTTGAACTAGATAATTTAACTTTAGTTGTAATACTAAATCTTAGGAATGAAATCAGTTGAAATCAACGTGATATTCACAGTATATAGTTTACTTAATGAATTTTAAGCACTGAGTGATGCAAATTAATTTTATTATGATAATATAACCTGTCATACAATTCTGTAAAATATTTTTTGTTTTGCATCAACTTCAAGAGTGGTTTCAAGTAGAAAATGTTGTCTTGTTAGCGCAAAAGGAAGACAATTTTTTTTTATTTAACTTACTTTTTTTAATAATGTGGGAAAACCGAAAAAAGATCGCCAGCATATTATTATTTTATAAATTATACCATTTTGAGTTAATTTCACAAAATAATTAGTTGATATAGCCCTCTTTTAAATAAATTGAATTATGACGGAGATAAAGAAGATAGGTAAGTCAATCAATAAATCGTCAGTATCTTAATTTTTAATACTGTTAATATTAATATTGTACATCTACTTTTAATAGTAATACCTATTCAATACTTTGGTAAATTTCAATACCTATTACCCAGTCAATTTCTTTTCCGATTTTTCAATTGGGTTTATCATCGATTTCAAACATTTTATTTTTCTTACTTATACTCATACATTACAGTATTCAAAATGATAGGTACATTAATAATAGTATAATATTTGAACAGTCTATCGAAATAATAAAAAACACAAATATTTACTACATTTTTAAATAAAACGAGTGAGAATTATGTTATCCATATAAAATGATCAGGCCAAAATATGGTCCAGGTCATTTGGAAAATTCCCATTTCCAGACTGGCCACTCTGCCCCTAATATCATTCTGAATTTATATTATACAAATAGTTTTACTCATTATTCATTGAAATAGTGAATTAGGTACTTAACTTAACCCTTAGATAGTTCTCACAATGCATGATAAATTTAATTCCGTGCGAGGTAGGTATTTGAGTGAACAATATTGTATGTTATTATATTATATAATTTAAAGCTTGCAGTACTTATGTCATACAAGTTAAAATTATTAAGAAAGATACACACCATACTATGTAGAATACCATAATACAAACAACAGTTTATGTTTCATAATAAATAACTAACACAATACATTTTTTTTTAACTAAATCTATATTATCATTTTATTTTATTAGTCTTATGGGAAATAATTAATATTATATTACGTTGTCGTAAAAGTCTATTAGTTACAATTCTTATGCAATTAAATTTTTTAACATATCACCATATTAAATAGATATTTTATTCACAGATAAAAGCAAAATTTATTCAACCTAAACATAATATTTTCAATTTTGTATGTAAATTTATTTCAATACATATAACTAATATATTTTGAGTAAACACAGCCTTTAGAAGTAAAAAAAAATTAATAATAATAATAATTATAATATTAGTACCAATTTACATACTTGTTGTAAACTGAGTAGGTATTTAATTATGTTGTATTGTAAAAAATATTTAATAATAAATATATCAAATTAAATAATTGTGTTCAATTATTTATGTATTTTTTGAGCTTTGGGTATAGTACTTGTAGGAGCTTTTATGGCTGGACCAATGGATCGATTAAATATGGTACTAGTTATGGACAGCACTGGCGCAAATATTTTTAGCCTTAAAGAAAAGCAAATTATTAATGATGTTTGATTAAGTATGATATTAAATTTATAAAAAAAAAAAACCTACACACCTAAATACTTTTATTTTAGATGGAGTAACTTCATTAGCACTGATTATGAACACAGGGAATAAAATCGAAAATAGACAACCGCTGAAAATAATAAAATTAATATCAAATAAAATGTGTAATTATTATTTCATTTGAATCAATAACTCAAAATATACCTGATGATAAATGAATCTGGCAATGACGTAATGACTGCTAGCGGAAGACCAAATCCAAGAAAATATGGCCAACAATTTTCAATGATTGATAATCTAGAATTTAGCTCCATACCCATGTTGCACCATTTGTATTCAAAAGAATATAGTGAGTATAATAATGATAAATGCGTAACACTTAAAATTGTACTGAGAGTTGTCGAAGGCACCATACTTACTAAATAGGTCTGAAATATAAAAAAAAACAATCATACATTTTACTTATGAACAAATGCCCTTAATTAACTTTGTAAGGTGTAAAGTTACACACCTTACAAATTTCAACATTATTTCATTATTTTAGTTGTATTTTTTTATGTTGATTTTGGAAATATTTAATTTTTTTTTTTGCAGAAACTATTATTTAAAAGGTTATTACAAAAATGATAAATTCAAAATTTTTTGCCATAACTTCTTTAATAATGGTTTAGCAAAAAAAAATTTAAACATTTTTAGAATCTGCATCAAAAAGCATCTGTTCAAATACCAAATATTTTGAAAATTATGAGAGGTGTTGTAAAATGAATTTTAGCACTCACTTGAATAAGAAATAAAAATTGTACGACTAGACTGAATGAAAAGTCAGCAATCACTTTACTGATCCTTGTTAACTGTTGCGGATCACCTTTTTTTTGTTTATATGCTATATCTGCGATATCCTTGATAAATAATTATTGATATTTTAGTTAGACATAAAATCATTAAATTAAAACTGTATATTACTTGAAACCAGAGACTATTGATTATTTTGGTTAGCAAAAATATCGGTAACACCCAGATAGCTCCAAACGTCCACGACAGTAACGATCGAGTCCATAACCAAATATTTTCATTGAAGTTTCCAAAGGTTATTGACATGATAGAGCCCAGAGCTGGTAGTATAATATATTCAAAAATTACTATACTTAAACAAAAAATGCCACCATTTAATGTACAACATTGAATTATTCGTTGTAACATTTTTTGATCTCTAAAAAAAAAAGTATTTTTTAATAAGCTGTGAACAATACAAATTAAATAAACAAAATTTAAAATATTTTAAATGTTTTTTTTATCATTTATAAACATTTAAAATTGAATACATCTATAATTATGACATAGACTAACACATTTTGATTTAAAACCCTAAGTTCTAAAAATCATAAAACAATAAGTTACAATACAAAATTTAAAGGTATTTGTAATTTTGTAGTAAACATACATAATTAAAAATTTATATTCAATCAATACTTTTCTGATCATCTAACTTAATATTTTAACAGTTTAAGACATTTTTGATAAAATATCAAGATGAAATTAATAAATTATTATAATTATTTATGAATGCTATCTATTTCTAACATAAGGATAATACTGTTACTACAATTTATAAATATTCTTAACTATTTCAATACCTACCTTCCAATATTATCTAATTACTTAATATTTAGAGAACAAAGGCATTGTCATACACAAAAGCCAAATAGGTATTAGTTAAATGTTAATGTTGTTATTATGGGATGAATAAAATAAAGGTATGAATTTTTAATAATTTAATTTATACTTTATTCAATTATAATTTATGATTGTAAAAAAATTATATACTTGGGTGAATTTACTGGTCTAACAAGTTTCTTTGGCCGAGGTTTGCTTGGTAAAATTACTGACGTTATGCCTTTAAAACTGTCCAAGGCACCTTTGCATACTGTTTTACATAATACCTGCAGAACAAATAATCCGTTTGTTTTAAAAATTAAAAAAAATATTATTTTAATTAAAGTAAAAACTTACATATAAATCGTGCATTTTTAAGTAAATTGGTAACCTGCAATTGTCAGTTTTAATATAAGTAAATTAAAAGTAAAATGAGTAGGTAACAAAAGACAGAAAATAGGTAATTCTTAACGTGGTTTATACTACGTAGAAACTAATTAAAAAATATCGATTAAAAACATTATTTTATTTACATAATGAACGTTTCCGTTCATAACACACTCAAATGCAATTTCAATTCATTTTTTTTTGTATATAATTTTCCGTATAGGTAACATTATCATAATAAATAATAATATTGTTGTTTAATTGTTACCTTCGGACGCGTGTTATCATATATGTATATCTTAATTCGTGGTAACCACCAAAGGTTAGCAAATGGCAAGATGTACCGACAAATTGTTTATAGATTTTTTTATCACAAACCATAGATAACAGATCACTGCATGCGAGTCCGACGTGACCAACGTTAACCAATACGACGTTGGTCAACCTGTCAATATCATCGATTGTGTTTTAGTTCAATCGTTTTGTTCGTTTAACAATATTTATCATTAGGCCGTGGTTTTCATGGTTGTATTTTCGTTCTATAATCGTGTTATTTTTCTCGGTGGTAATTTTTAAGCTCAATAGGTAGAGATCAACCACGGTCCACGATTTACGATGACCACACACGCGGACATCGAAGCGCAAATACGCGAGATACAACAGCGGAAAAAAGAAGAAAAACAAAAGGAAGGCGATAGCGACGTAGGGCTTGGGGCATCCGGCTTTTTCGATCAGGACATCTACAATGGAGGTGGCAAGTACGAAGGCTATGTCACATCGATTGCACCGAACGATGAATACGACGTAAGTACAATGACTTTTATTCATTTATCCGTAATGTCCTATCTAGTTTCATAAGCCTGCTGTTTGTTGGTTCGGTCAATGTTCCTAGAGTTTGTGTGATTAGCGATTAAACGTTTTTTATTGTTAATACTGTCAAATTTCAAAGTAAACAATCACAATCATTATTTTGGATACCTACCATGATTTAAACTATATCTTTAATCGAGGTACCTACTAACAATATTGTTTCCTACTTCTCTTTTGCTAACTACTTATTCAAATTTATTGTAACTTGTTTAAAATAACTTTTGAAACAAGTAAGTAGTTATCAAAATAAGAGTAGAACATTTTATATTGTTGTTTGGTTAATACCAAATTTCAATTTTAAGACAAAAGTACCATCATTAGTTTTTCGAGTAGGTACCCAGGTGACAATATTTACTGATTATCTTTATATTTGATTAAATGTTCTGCAACAGTTTTCACTTATTTTCTAATTAAAAAGCTGTATTTTATTTTCATAGGTATTCATTCTAACTTTATTTATATTTTCAGATTATGATTTTTAGAAAAATATGTTTAATTAATATTTAATTTAATGATAGGTAAACAAATTAATTTCTATTCAAATTTCTGTAATTATTTAATTTACTTTAAAGTTAATGAAATAGCTACTCTAAAGATTTTATATATCTATTCATTAAAAAACAGTCTAAATAATGTCATTTATTATTAATCTATGATTCTATGATAACATTAATTACTGGTACGTTATTTAAACCTTATTAAAAAGTAGGTAACCATTAAAAATACCTATATTTATTGCTACTAACTTTTATGAACTTCTATATCTTGGTTTTTATTTTAGGATGAAGATATTGACGATCAACACTATAGAAATAAAAAGCCAACTTCAGCCCCAGCAGCTGCTCTTAAAGAAATTGTACAGGTAATTTATTCAATTTAAAATATTTGTGTCTTGTTTAATTGTAAATTACTGTGTTGGATTCTAAGTTCTTGTATCTACCATATATTTTATTTGTTTAGTTACCTAAACATCTAATTTTAGATTATAAATATTTTATATTTTAATTAGGCTAGAGAAGAAGAAGATGACTACGATCCATTTGCTGAAAGAAAACGTCTTCAAAAAGCAACATCTGATAAAGATGATGATACTCGTCAACTTCGTAGGCCTATGGTTATATCTCCTGACCGTATTGACCCTTTTGCTGAAGGTAACATCAATTTTAATATAATTAAGTAACCATTGTATTTAAGTATAATTATAAACATTAAAATCTATATTATATAAAAATATTATTTTATCAAGTTTTATTTTATTAATTGTATTTTTCTAGGAGGGAAAACTCCTGATGTTGGGTCAAGGACATATTCACAAATTATGCAAGAACAAAAATTAAAGGGTGAAGAGATCGAAGTACGAAAAACTATTTTAGATAAAGCTAAAGATGGTGGTTTAAAGACTAATGGAGATTCAAAAGGTTTAGTAAGAAAAAGAGGACGTTGGGATCAAGTTGTACAAAATGGTGATTCTTCTGGAGTGCCTGCAAAAAAAAAAAATAGTTCTGCTCCTTGGGAAGAAGTAATTATTTCAAAATACTTGTGATTATTATAATTTATTGGATGTTCATATTTTGTTTTATTGATTAATGTAAAAATAAAAAAGTGTTGGTATCTCTAATATCTATATTTTTTTAGACACCTAAAGGTGGATTGTCTCGTTGGGATGAAACACCTGGTCCTGCTAAAATGGGAGCTGAAACTCCTGGTGCCACCCCTGGTCAAAGCACTAGAATGTGGGATGCAACTCCAGGTCATACTACTCCTGCTGCTGGAGCTGCAACTCCTGGTCGTGATACACCAGGACACATAGGAGCGTCACAAACTTCAGTTCGAAGAAATCGGTGGGATGAAACTCCAAAAACTGAAAGAGGTAGTATATTATTAATGGAAAAAAAATATGTTTTATTATTTATACATTTATTTTATTTTAGCTACACCTGGTCATAACAGTGGTTGGGCCGAAACTCCACGTACAGATCGTGGAGGTGTTGACTTAATTCAAGATACGCCAACGCCATCTGCGAGTAAAAGACGTTCTCGCTGGGATGAAACACCATCACAAATGACGCCATCAGCAACACCTGGTGGCCTTACACCAGGATCAGCAACTCCTAAAGCAGGAGTTACGCCATCTGGAGCTTCTATGACACCTACACCTGGCGGTATGACTCCGGGTGCTACTCCTATAACACCGATGGCACCTCGAACACCAGTACTTTCTAATAGTGCTGCTACTCCCGTAGGACATACTGCTATGGGTATGGCAACACCAACTCCAGGTAATGACACTCAAACTATACAAGTTATTAAACACAGCATAAGACGTTTAAAATATTGAATTTATAATATATTTAGGTCATTTGTTATCCATGACTCCCGAGCAACTGCAAGCTTACAGGTGGGAACGTGAAATTGATGAGCGCAACCGTCCATTAACTGATGACGAGTTAGATGCTATGTTTCCTCCTGGATATAAAGTGCTTCAACCACCTGCTGGATATGTACCGATACGAACTCCAGCTCGTAAATTAACCGCTACACCAACACCAATAGCTGGTACACCTACAGGATTTTTCATGCAAGAATCTGTTGATCGTCCAACCAAATCACAAATAGTGGACAATCAACCACCTGGTAATCTTCCCATGTTGAAACCCGAAGATGCACAGTATTTCGACAAATTGTTAATGGACGTTGATGAAGAAAGTCTAACATTAGAAGAACAAAAGGAAAGAAAAATTATGAAGTTACTATTGAAAATTAAAAATGGTACTCCTCCAATGAGAAAAGCTGCGCTGAGACAAGTTACAGATAAAGCTAGAGAGTTGGGTGCTGGTCCATTATTTAATCAGATATTGCCTTTACTTATGTCGCCTACACTTGAAGACCAAGAACGACATTTATTGGTTAAAGTCATTGATCGAATTTTGTATAAGCTTGATGATTTAGTCAGACCATATGTCCATAAGGTAAATCAAATACACTAATACTCTATAAATACAATCAAAGATTTAATAAATATTATTATACATGAGCATTAGTCGCTTTTATTGTTTATTGGACTTTTAGGGTAATCATATCTTTTATTAGTTTATAAATCTCTTGTGATGATAAACAAATATCTGATAATAATTCATATATGTGAACTCTTTTAGGAACTAAAATTAATTTATAAGAAATTAAATCTATAAATCAACTACATCATTATTTTTTGTACAGATATTGGTTGTTATTGAACCACTGTTAATCGATGAAGATTATTATGCTCGTGTAGAAGGTCGTGAAATTATTTCAAATTTAGCCAAAGCTGCCGGTTTGGCTACCATGATATCTACTATGAGACCAGATATAGATAATATCGATGAATATGTGCGTAACACTACAGCCCGTGCTTTTGCTGTGGTTGCTTCAGCTTTGGGCATTCCATCTCTTTTGCCCTTTTTAAAAGCTGTATGTAAGAGTAAGAAATCATGGCAAGCTCGTCATACAGGTAATAATTTTAAGTTATAAACAACTAAAAAGCCAGTTTTAATCAATTTACTATCTTTAGGTATAAAAATTGTTCAACAAATTGCAATTTTAATGGGATGTGCTATCTTACCTCATTTGCGTTCTTTGGTTGAAATTATCGAACACGGTTTGGTAGATGAACAACAAAAAGTACGAACTATTACTGCATTGGCTATTGCTGCTTTAGCTGAAGCTGCCACTCCATATGGTATTGAAAGTTTCGATTCTGTTCTCAAACCATTGTGGAAGGGAATAAGAACTCATAGAGGAAAGGTAAGATAATTTAAAATAATAGGTTTTTTTAAAATACTAATTCATACAATTATTGTTATTCTAGGGTTTAGCAGCCTTTTTGAAAGCTATTGGATATTTAATTCCTTTGATGGATGCTGAGTATGCTAATTATTATACCAGAGAAGTGATGTTGATCTTAATTAGAGAGTTTCAGTCTCCTGATGAAGAAATGAAGAAAATTGTATTAAAGGTAAATGACAAGTATTTAATTTTTAAATTATTTTTTAATTAACTGTATTGTTCAATAATAATTAACTTAAATTTTTATATTATAGGTGGTAAAACAATGTTGTGGAACAGATGGTGTTGAACCGCAATATATACGTGAAGATATTTTACCTCATTTCTTTAGACACTTTTGGAATCACAGAATGGCCCTAGATAGAAGAAACTATAGACAGGTATTTAATAATTGTTATGAAGTTTAAAAAAATCAAAACATTTTAATTATGATTATTTTATATTTTTAGTTGGTTGATACAACCATGGAAATAGCCAATAAAGTTGGAGCATCTGAAATTATTAATCGTATAGTTGATGATTTAAAAGATGAAAACGAACAATACCGTAAAATGGTTATGGAAACTATTGAAAAAACCATTGGTAATTTAGGTGCGGCTGACATTGACTCTAGGCTTGAAGAACAATTAATTGATGGTATTCTTTATGCTTTCCAAGAACAAACAAATGAAGTATGTATTGTAATATCTTGATTTTATAAAATAATTTTATTTCAAAAATTGTTATTTTTAGGATGTAGTTATGTTAAATGGCTTCGGTATGATTGTCAACCAATTGGGTCGTCGTGTTAAACCATATCTACCACAGATATGTGGTACAATTTTATGGAGATTAAATAACAAGTCAGCTAAAATCAGACAACAGGCTGCAGATTTGATAGCCCGAATAGCTTGTATTATGAAAATTTGTCAAGAAGTAAGTACCACATTTGTTAGATGGATTAGATGTTTCTAGGATTTTCTTTTTTTCACTTCATTGTTCTGTTCTTTATTATAGGAAAAGTTAATGGGACATTTGGGTTTGGTATTGTATGAATACTTAGGCGAAGAATATCCAGAAGTGTTGGGAAGCATTTTAGGCGCATTAAAAGGTATTGTAAACGTGATCGGCATGACAAGAATGACTCCGCCTATCAAAGACTTGTTACCTCGGTTAACACCAATTTTGAAAAACAGACATGAAAAAGTTCAAGAGAATTGTATTGATCTCGTCGGTCGTATTGCTGATCGTGGACCAGAGTATGTACCTGCCAGAGAATGGATGCGAATATGTTTTGAGTTACTTGAATTGTTGAAAGCACATAAAAAAGCAATCCGAAGAGCTACTGTTAACACTTTTGGTTATATTGCTAAGGCCATCGGGTAAGTGTTTGTTAATTAACATTAAACTAATTCTCTTTTCTAAACTTTTCTCATCTAATTGATTTTATAGTTGGAAAAATTAACACACATCATGTCTTAACAATAATAATCAATTATATTTTTCTCTAGACCTCATGATGTATTAGCTACACTTTTAAACAATTTAAAAGTACAAGAACGACAGAATCGTGTTTGTACTACTGTTGCTATTGCTATAGTGGCTGAAACATGTTCTCCGTTTACTGTATTACCTGCACTAATGAATGAATATCGAGTACCTGAATTGAATGTCCAAAACGGTGTTCTTAAATCTTTATCATTTTTATTCCAATATATTGGTGAAATGGGTAAAGATTATATTTACGCAGTCACTCCACTTTTAGAAGATGCTCTTATGGACAGGTAATAATGACTTATAAATTGTAGTTGAAAAATTATATTTTAGTAATAATAAAAATTAACTAATTGAAAAAAAATGTGTTGTCAAATAAAATAAGACATATTTATGTAGTATGTTGCATATGAAAACAATACAATTATCAACAATCTTGAATATTTTTTTTTTAGAAATGAAAATATATTTCTATGAAATGTTTAATAAATTAATAATTGTTTTTGTAATATTGTGAATGTTGTATGTATAGATTTTGAAATATTTTTATATAGATTTATTAATAGTACCAATTTCAAAATTAATTTGCGAGATGTTCTTTAGGGATTTAGTACACAGACAAACAGCATGTGCAGCAATTAAACATATGGCTCTTGGAGTGTTTGGTTTTGGTTGTGAAGACGCTTTAATTCATTTATTGAATTATGTATGGCCTAACATCTTCGAAACATCTCCTCATTTGGTTCAAGCTTTTATGGAAGCTGTTGAAGGTTTGAGAGTAGCCCTTGGCCCTATCAAAATCTTACAATATACACTTCAAGTAAGTAATTATCATAATAGAATATTGTAACAATTATCAAGTGATTAAGTTAAATTATACTATTTTAAAAATTTTAAGTCTTTAAATATCATACATTTTAGATTTTGAGCAGATATTTAATTGACGGTTTTATTATTTATATTTTGTCTTCTTT